GAGGACTGACAGATTTCTTATGGTTCTTCTTAAATTCTATAATGAGACCTGTATTATTTCAGAATATCACATATTTATTTTTGCTGTATCCTTATGAGATTAACAGTGGCTACTGAAGTTTTATTAAAAGAGAAACTAAACTCTTAAGACTCTTCAAGGTAGGAATCACATCTCAGTCATTGTTCCATTCCCTGGCCTTAGTAATCACTAAACAAATTTGACTGAGAGTTTAGTCTCTTCCCTTGCAACACCTCCAAGCATAATTTTTATTGGTTCACTTTTATCTGAAGGTAAGTAGGATCTACCATAGACTAAATTATAAAATAAAAATTGCCTTTTAGCATCCTTCTCCTCTATCCCAGCAATTTTTACCTGCACTCTTTGATTCTTGTAAGATTTACTACATGTTTAAAATGTTCCAGGCAATATGTTAAACATTTTACATTGATAATCTCACTTAATGTCCACAGCCAGCCCTATGATAAATACTATTATCTCTACTTTGCAGATAAGGAGACTGAGGCTTAGAGAGGTTAAATCATTTGCCCAAAGTGGCGGAGCGACATTTGAACCCAGGTCTGTCTGAATCTAGACTACAGCCTGAATTCCTATTATGTTCTACTACCCCCTTTGATGAAATCCTACCTTTGGTGGTGAAAATAAGCTGCCACATTAGTCTTTTGGTAGACTACTAAGGACTGAGGAGGTGGTGAAAGTATTAAGAATCAAGTTCCTGATGAAAGATTGTATGGAGTGAATTGGGAGACAGTTCTAGCCACAATTTGAACAGATATTTATAGAAAGCAGAACACAAGTAGTTATGGTTTACTCAGACTGGCGCCTGTAGATATCAAGAGTAGTAACACTGTATTTTAGGCTTTGATATCTCAACAGGAAAGCACAGTGCACCCAGGGAGGAAGGGGCTCTCCAGTCAGTTTGCTTTGAAAAAACGAGCATGACTTTGAGGGATTGTGGATGAGAAGTGGAGCCCTTGACTTAAGGGAGTTGTAAATGGAACTGTGCTTTCATCCCATCCCTGGTTTAGGATATACACAGATCCTCTACAGGAAGGAACAAGTATTTATTCAATCCTCTTTTATTCAGAGTATTAAAGTTAAATGTAAAACCTTTTGTTTCAGGATGACAGAGGGTAGACAAAATAGAGAAAAACAACTGATCATACATACACTTGACCAGTAAACATATACATCCATTTTCCCTCAGTAGGCTTAATTGGAAGTGAGCTTATTAGGGGTGTGGGGACATTTAAGGGTAACACAATGTTATTCAGGAGCAGTGGTCCGTCTCTTACTGCCTCAGCAGCTGCTGATTGCCAGTAGTGACCTCTGCTAGCAAAATTTTCTTCCTTAAGTCCACATAACGTGGTTGGAATCACTTAATGGCTTATGGTTGCAGAAAACTCAATTCATCATTCTACAAGAGACACAAAGAGCTGATACTGTACTCCAGGCTTCTGTGCTAAAATATAGCAGTAGATGCTTATCAATGCTTCTATCTTCAGACACAAGCAAGCAACTTCTTGCTTTTCAGGTAAAAACCTGTTTTTCTACCTTTAAAAATTTCTTCTCAAAACATGTTCAGAAAACAAGTTTTACATAAACACGCTTATGACATTTATTAGGAACAAAATAGTTGTTATTTTGACAAGGTTGGGAGATAAAAGAGGCTTTTTTTTTTTTAAGATTTTATTTATTTGAGAGAGAGAGAGTGAGAGAGCACAAGCAGGGGGAGCTGCAGAGAGAGGAGAAGCAGGCTCCCCGCTGAGTAGGGAGCCCTATGCGGGGCTCGATCCCAGGACCCTGGGGTCATGACCCAAGCCAAAGGCAGATGCTTAACTGACTAAGCCACCCAGGCGCCCCTAAATAAGGCATTCTTTACGAATTTATGTACCTCACAATCACCAATCTTGTACCAGGCATATTACAAAGGTAGTCTCATTTAACGCTGACCACCCCCCTCAAGAAATCTTTAAGTGGCATCATGACACACATTTTAGTGACAAACTCAGAAAAGTCACAGTTTCAAGGTAAAACAACAGCAACAACAAAAACAGCAAGATAGGACCCAGTTCTATCTGAATATATAGCCTATTTTTATACTAAATGACACTTTCTCTTTACCTTATGCTGTTTTAAGCTTTATGACACCTAAATTAATCTGAAACGTGAATATGCAGAGGACGCCTCAGATTTTAGAGTGAAGCCAAAGGAAAAAAGCAATATACCAAACCCTATTCCTGGATCACATAGGCAGGCATGGAACACTGCAACTGTTATATAATCTAAAACCAAATAATTTTTCCTCAAAAAAAAAATCCCTTTCTGAACTTATTTCAGTCACTACAACTGTTCTAGTCATGCAGATTTAAAATCCTAATACTTAAGGCATAATGAGGGTTTATAAATTAATGATGTAATAGGGCAATGCTAATTATATGATCAACATTTGGGAACACAAAGATCCCAGAATTAATTTTGTAGGGTGAGAGACCTGTTGAAGACTTTTTAGAGGAAGTAGTATATGAGCTGAGCATTGACTAAGTCCTGCTTTGCCTAGCAAAGGAAGGGAAAGGGCTCCTGATAAACAGAGAAAACTTTGAAAATACATAGCTTCATTCTCTCTATATCCAATGAATCACCAGCTCATCTGGTTATTCCTTCACAATATTTTTTACATCTGCCCCTTTTCCTCACCTCATGGTTGTAGATTACTACCAATCAACTCATAAGGTATACTATGTGTCCTAATTCCTAATTCGCTTGTTTTTTCCTTCCTTTAAATACTCGTAGACTATAGACTTATAGACTAACTTTAAAAAAATACCTCCTTTTACATGACCATAGAATCTTCAGGCGTCCCCACTGCCTCTGAAGTACGGAGTTCAAACTCCAATTCTCCCACAGTCCATGAGCTATATTCCTAAATTTCTCCCTAGAACCAAGTCAACAGATAAAACAATACATGATCAAGTATAGGCTTATAGCCATCAGCACACTTTTACTGACCATTTACTGGGTGGAAAAGGTAGGACCTCTGGAAGGTACTAGGAAGACAGTTGAGTCAGTCACAAATCTGGAGGAGTTTACAGTATGGTAGATGAAAGCCAGATGTGCATTTAGGAAGCTAATTTTAGAAGATCGCATCTGTCCCATAAGTAAGACTGTAAACATGCTTAATGTTCTAGTGGAGACATGGAGAAAGGGCTTAAGCTGAATTTTAACCATATAAATAAATGCTTATTTGCTTATGTAGTTTGGTTTTCAATTTAGCTTAATATTAGAATGGACACTGTTAAAGAAGTCTTGTTCAATTCAACATCTATTGAGCACAGTGTACTGAACAGAAACTAATTATTCTACATGAAATAGGAGTAGAATGGGGCATCTGGGTGGCTCAGTCGGTTAAGTGTCTGACTTGATCTCAGCTCAGGTCTTGATCTCAGGGTCATGAGTTCAGGCTTCACATTGGGTCCCATGCCCAGCATGGAGCCTACTTAAAAAAAAAAAAAAAAGAAATAGTAGAAGGTACTACTTCTCTTCGCTCTTAAGCCAGCCCCTTCTCCAAGTAGTACAATTAGAGCTTGCATTCAAAACAATACATGAAGGACAGAATTTTATTACTGGTTAAATAGAAGGCAGAAGAAAGGGAATTTTTTTTTTTTTTTTTATTAGAGAGAGCGAGCACAAGCAGGGGGAGCATGAGAGGGAGAAGCAGGCTCCCCACTGAGCAAGGAGCCCAATGCGGGGCTCAATCCCAGGACCCTGGGATCACACCCTGAGCCAAAGGCAGACACTTAACCTACGAAGCCACTCAGGCACCCCAAAAGGGAAGTATTTCTTGACAGAACTTAAAATGTACTTCAGAGCTTCTAGATATCTGGTAATGTTATGAAAACTATAAAGCCATTATTACTGTATGAGTGTTCGGATAGTTACCATTTAGAAATATGACAACAGAAGACTACTCTGCTTATGATTCAATCAGTTTCTGAAATGCAGAGTGATTTTTTTTCAAAACACAGATCTAAACATGTTACCCGTCACTTCACTAAATCCTTCAGTGAGACTCCATTTTTCTTAGCATGGACAAACTCCTTAAGAGATATACAAGATCCTGCATGGCCTGACCCCTACCTATTTTTCCAGTCTCTTTCACTCAACCCCAGCATCGCTGGCCTTTTTGTTCTCATTTTCCCTGCTATAATTAGCTTGTACTTACCATTCGGGTCTCAGCTCAATTGTCACTTGCACAGGTAATTACTTAACCAGAGCAAAATCCCTATTATAGTACTCTGTACTTCTTTGGAGCATTTATAACAATTTTAATTTTATATTTGTGTGATTATTTAATGTCTAGACTTTTTTTAGACTATAGTCTAAAAAAGCAGAGATTTCATGTTAAAATTTTCCACATAATGAAAAATATGTAAAATGTTATTTAGAATATATATATTATTTTAAATAGCTCTAGCCTAAGGGATAAACCCAGGAATAGCAGCATTTATCTTCCCAGGCACTACCCTTTAAAACCTATAAAACATCTATATTTAAACAATAACCTAACCACTCTTAAGTTTTTGTTTATCTGTAAAATATGGATAACCTTAAAGATGAGCTACACATAATAAATGAAAAAACTTTATAAAGTTCTTAAAACAATGCAGGGCACCTGGTAAATGCTAAATAACTGATGCCTATGAATAATAAACCCCTAATTAATTCTGATGTTCTTTCAAATGAGTTAAAATGATTCTGAGAAGGATAAAAGAGATTCAAGAATTGTTACATCTTTTGTTATTTTTTTTTTTAAAGATTTTATTTATTTATTTGAGAGAGAGAATGAGAGAGAGAGAGAGAGAGCACATGAGAGGGGGGAGGGCCCGAGGGCGGAGAAGCAGACTCCCTGCTGAGCAGGGAGCCCGATGTGGGACTCGATCCCAGGACTCCAGGATCATGCCCTGAGCTGAAGGCAGTCGCTTATCCAACTGAGCCACCCAGGCGCCCCCTTTTGTTATAATTTTTAAGATGGTTATATCATTATCAGTTTTCTTCCTATTATTTACTATAACCCAGATTACTTTTTAAGATAGATACAAGCCATTAAAATATGTACTTAAAATACACAGATACATAAAATTTATCTTAAAATGCATATTTTATTTTGGTAGCCAATGACCATCAATCAAAGAAAGAAAAGAAAACTAATTTTATGAAGAAAGACAAATCTATGGAGTGGTTTACAGGAAGTGAAGAATGAGATGGCTCAACTAAACCAACTTGGAATCATTAACTACAAAATGTCAAATTAACTAAAAGACAAGTGTCAAATGGGACATTTAAACAGTTTTGAAATGTTACACATCTTCCTTTAGCTTTTGTTATTTTTCAAAATTGTATGTAAAAGTTATACGATTCATAGTAATAGCTAACAATTCCAACCTATGAAAGTAGTGATTCACAATATAAAGTTCTATTTTGGTACTTTTCCATCTTCTAATCAGTTGCTGTCATCTGAGGTACTCAGTTATGTGGTGGTTTAAACTTCCTCAGCTTGACAAGAAAAGCTAATTTAAGGAGACAAAAAAGTAAGGTCATTACAAAATTAGAAGAAAACAACATTTAATATGGCCTGAAAACATCACTCACCTGTATGACCAGTTTGCCAGTGTACAGGTCTAGCAATATAGGGAAATGATCCGTATGGAAAATCAGAATGTGACTCTTCTGTTGTAGAACAAAATATATATTATAAGCTATATAAAATATTTTATAATTTGTTCATAAAACTGTTAAAATACAAACTACTGCCCCTTTAAGTTTTTTCTCTCAAACATTTTTTTTTCAGCATTTGTTTTGGAGCTACTCTGCTAGTTATCTTACAGAAACAATTTGTCAAGGATTAAATGATAAACTTATATGTGGTTTTATAACCAAATGGATAAGCCTATATATCATCAATCAATGGATATTTGAAAACTTGTTCATGGCCTAAATAATGACCATAATGATCATACAACAAGGACCTAAATTTAGCTCTTTGAGGAATTCCAGTAGCATCTTGGAAGTTGCTTTTTGGAATATTAGCTATTTGCATATCAGGTCCTATTAAATTCTTTCCCTTCAGTAATAATCACTGACCTAAATTAAAAACATCCTTTAATATATTTAAGGTATTTCATAAGCCGACCTCCTTGATACAAAAATATCAATTCTTCAAAGGTATCAGAATTTTACATAAAAGGCAAGAAAAGTCATTTTTCTGCCCCTTAGAGATTTTAATTTAACAGAATAAATACATTTCAATTTCTCTAGGGAAAAAGAACAAATCCCTCAGAAATAGTTTTGTTTTTTTGTTTTTTTTTTTTAAGATTTTATTTATTTGCGAGTGAGAGAATGAGAGACAGAGAACATGAGAGGGGGGAGGGTCAGAGGGAGAAGCAGACTCCCTGCCGAGCAGGGAGCCCAATGTGGGACTCGATCCCGGGACTCGAGGATCATGACCTGAGCCGAAGGCAGTCGCTTAACCAACTGAGCCACCCAGGCGCCCCCCTCAGAAATAGTTTTATAATCATTGGTCAGTACACTCAGGAACCTATCCTCCATTTATTATTATAAACATGATGAAATAAAATCGAACCTCACCATGGTCATCCTCTTGAAACATCTCACCTTCAATTCTAATTTTCTTTTGAGAATGTAATTGTAAATCTGTGTTGATTTTAGGTTCTATTTTTTGAGCTAAAGTTCCATTTTTCTGTTTTGCGAGGCAAACCAACCAATCTCTGACAATGACTTCACTTATCTTTTCACATGAGAGAGCAAGTTCACAGATGCGAATTCCATCTAAAAGTTCAATAACCTGTGTGATACTTTTAGAAAAGTGAAAAAAGTACTTTAAATTTCTATTACAATAATAACTTGATACTTATTTTAAGTTCACTATACCTCTTAACCCAAATTTAAATGCTATAGTTAAACCAAAGGGGAAATATAAACATGCAAGTTAGATCACATAACATGCAATTTCATAGACTACTAAGTAAAAAAAATATATATACAGAGACTATGATTTAACATTATTGTTCACATTACACTTTTAAAAACTTTTCTTCTAAATTGTAAGAAAGATGCATCTTATTTTACCATTCAGGTAAAGGGTGATTTAAACAGCAATATAAATTAATTGGGACATACGTCGTTTCAAAACAGTTTTACAAGATGACATATATACCTAATTCGGTTACAAAATGAACATTGTAGTCAACTACTTGAGACAAAACAAAAGTGTGTTTAAAATCACATTACAAAGAATAGCCACATTACTCACTTCGCTAGATATACAGCACACACACCACCCTGTTTAAGATTTGGATATAAAACAGGCAAAGCAACTTGAGGATTCAACATGTCCAAAGCTACCTGTCAGGGGGAAAGCAAATCAGACTGAGTTTTGTTTAAACAAAGCACAGGTCTTCTTTCTTACTGCGGTAAAATGATACACCTTTGGAAAGCAATTACCCAGTTAAAGTCTTCATTTTTTTAAACTCTAGTACTATTAGCTGTCATTTTGCTGTTCTCAAAAAGGCATATTTATTATTATACAATGTGTCACAATACTTGACTACATGAAAATCATAATGGCGTGTCTTGTACTTGACAATATCAATAATACAGGAATCTTTCTTCAGCTATATCTCATATACACATATATACATACAAATGCATACGTATATATAAAAGTTTTAATGCTTTAGTTCAGATTTTGGCAGCAAATTCACATGATCTCAAATATGTATTTCTATGTGCAAAAGGTAAGTTATGAGTATTAATTTTAGAGATTCTAAAATGCAAGAATCCTGACTTAGTTCTTTATTCCTCATCCATTTGCAGAATACAGAACTGTACTCATAAAAGATGTCAAATGAATACAATGAGTAAATGAAATTTAAAAAACAAAGTCATTTACAACAAAACAAATATGGTCAAAATAGAAAACAAAGTGGCTTTTATTGATGAAGAACTCTGGAAAGCTAAGAGTAGTTGGCACATCAACATATTTACTAAATTAGAAATTATTCCATTATTTGTTTTTTTAAATAGTATTAATGGGTCATCATTCATTATTAATTCATTCACCAAATATTTATTGAGCACCTTCCATGTGCCAAGCATTTTGCTAAGTAGTAAGGATATATAACAGGAGCTTATATTCTATTTTGTTTCAAGGGACCATATATTCTAATAAAGGGACAGACATTAAACAAAAATCCAATAAATATGTAAGTCAGAGGAGGATAAGTGACATGATGAACTTCAGAATTATAAAGCAGAATATAAGGGGCAGAGAGTAATGGAAAGGAAGTGCTATTTTATATGTAGGCTGGTCAGTGGAGAGACCTGAAGAAAATGATTAAGCTTACCCTGTGGAAATATAGGGTGGAAGTGTGCTCCAGATGGACAGACAGCAAGTACAAATGCTCTTGAGACTGTAAGACACTTGGTGAGTGTGAGAAGGCCACTGTTGCAGTGGAGACAAAAGGGGGAAAACGCTGAGACACGAACTGTGAGTGTACAATCAGGGGCATAAGTACATTCTGACTTATTCGTTCAATCTACACATAGAAAAGACTGGGAGAAGGCAAGGAAGGATGACGATGACTTGCAATAGTAAATAGCACTAGATATGATAACAAGTGGTATATATTTTGAAAAGATAGAGTCAATTAGAATTAGGATTGGTTGTAGGATAGGAGAGTAAGAGGAGTCAGGATGAATCCAGTGTTTTTAGCCTATGCCACTGAAAGGACGGAGACGTCATTTTCTAGTAAGGAAAATGGTGAAGACTATGGGAAGGGCAGGCTTGGCAGAAATAATCAAGAATTCAGGTTTGGACAGGAGTTTAAAATGCCTATTCAATTTCAAGGAAAGATCTCAATGACTGAATCAAAGGGTCAACATGATAAATATAAATGGGCTTCTTCGGCTGTAGTTTGTCTATGTTACTGACAAGGACCAAAAATCAGATAACCAAGAAACTTGCCAATCCTCTTGAATACTCTATTTTCAATTAACATTTCCATTCATCCAGTCACTCAAACCAGAAACTTGTTGAGAGTCATCATTTTCTTTACCTTGAATTCTCTTTTGAGAATCTGTGGGGTTTAGTTGTTTCCGTTTGGATTAAAATTATCCAGCCCCACAAACCTACCTATTAAGTATTTCTCAAATTCATCCTGCTGCTAATGCCTTAGATCAGGACCTTATTGTATCTTATTGTAACATTACAATAGCTCTCTACATAGACTCACAGCCTTATTCTTCCACCAGAATTACTCTAAAATGGAAGAGTATACTTATCTTGATGAGTACTGACTAATACATGGAATTGCTGAATCACTATATTGTACACCTGAAATGAATCGCTGTACGTTAACTATACTGGAATTTAAAAAAAAATGAATTACTTTAAAATAGGAATCTGGACATTCTGCTCCCCACTTAGGAACTCATCAGTAGTTCCCATTATCTGTAAGAAAATGTCTCTATGCCCTAGCTTAGTATACATACAAGTGTTCTTCATTATCTAGCCCCTTAAGACTGCATTTGCAGCTTCACCTCATGATACCCAATTTCTACAGCCATGGTGTTCAATGCTTCTGAGTCTTTCCAGTAATTGTTTGTCTATCTTCTAGACTGAAAGCTCCTTTAAATGTGTAATTCACTTTTGTCTTAGCATAGTACATGGCATATAGCAGGTCTTTAATAAATGCTTGTTGAATCAAGAAACAGTGGTTCAATAATTCAGAAAATGATGATAATCCCCCAGTTAATGAGTAAGGTACATTCCATGAAAGAGGTGACCTTTGATCTAAACTTTGAGGGGAAAATAGAATTTAAACAGGTAGAGAAAAGGAAAGAAATAATAATGATGAAAGTCATAGCTAATAATTCTTTAATGCTTACTATACACCAGGCACTGTTCTATGCACTTTATATGAAGTATCTTATTTAATCCTCAACAACTCTATGAAATATGAACTATTATTATCATTCCTGTTTAATATGTGAGAGAACTGAGGCACAGAAAGATTAAGTAACTTATCCAAGATCATCTTGGCTATTATGGGAGCCCAAGAGTGAACCAGGCTGAATGGATGCCAAAACTTAGTTCCCTCTTCCCCTCTCCCTTTCTCTCCTCAGGTAATCACTGTCCTGAAGTTGGTAATGTTCCCAAATAATTTATACTTTCACAACATATGTATATAGCTATAAACAGTACATGGTACTGTTTTGTGTAGTTTTAAATTTTACCTATGTGTGGCCATTCCATACATATTCTTTTATAATGATTTTTTTCACTAAGCACCATGTCTGAGATTTACTGATGTAGATATAGTACATTTATTTCACTATGTTAAATAATACTATTTTTAGTATTCCATTGTGTCCATTCATCTTCTGATGGTTAGGCTTTTTAAAATTCGTTAAAAATATTTTACTAGACATTTTTTTTCTCCTTTTGTTCTCTGTCTTTGTAGTTTAACACCTTATTTGTTCAATTTACCATCATTTTGGATGGCAGGAGTATGGCTCCTCCTCCTACATTTTCTCATACTGGCAATCATCTGACACTATTACTCAAGAGAGTCCATCGAATAAATCTAGTAAGGAATATTCTTTCTTTTAGATCAGGGATGGTTCAACAGGTTTCTACAAAGCTTCAATGATATCATTAAAGTCCTTTGTTGTTTCATGATCATCAAGCAAACTTTTTTTTTTTTTTAAAGATTTTATTTATTTATTCATGAGAGACAGAGAGAGAGACAGAGGCAGAGGGAGAAGCAGGCTCCCTGCGGCGCAGGGAGCCCAATGCGGGACTCGATCCCAGGACCCTGGGATCATGACCTGAGCCGAAGGCAGATGCTTAACCGACTGAGCCACCCAGGCGTCCCCATCAAGCAAACTTCTGATGACCAATTAACCTTCCAGGTATCTGTAACATTCTTATGGATGGCCTATGTAGAGAAACTCCTTTTTTCTGGCCCTTACTGAGGTGTAATATGCAAGCCAAACAAGGATGAGGAAAAAGAACTGTGGTCTTTGTGTCCAGGAATCTGAGTCACCAAAACCACAGACTTTATTAACATTAGAGATAGGAACCAGTCCTGATAAAAAAATCTCTTTGAACTTCATTTTTCAACTAGTTTTCCTCAGAAAATGATAAAATAATCCAACTTTCCAACAGCCAATTAAAAAAAGCAAAGATGACCTAGACCTCAGTCTGTAGTGCCAAGCTATGAAATGATAATGGAATCATCAAGGATAAGAAACTTACACTAGAATTCTGAAACTCTGAAGCCAACTAATACCTCCATGTCCCACATTTCTACCATCACTGGTCACAGCCTAAAATATCCCCTCATCATCTATCCTTTTATCTTCATACTACTCTGTTTCTTCTCCCTAACTCAACCTCTCACTGTTCCTCCTCCTCACAAATCCATCCACTCCACTTTCTGGAGGTATGCTCATAATAAATGCCCCCAAACTCAGTATCTTTAATGAACACTCATCTACATCCTCATGTTAACTGTCTAAAGATGCCTCTTGCCTGTTCCCCAACAGATGAGGGCTATTCCCCCAAATCTCACAACATGAAGTCAGGCACTGGGATCAATATGCTCCCAAAGCTGCTCCTAAATTATTATTCCTTTATCCTAGAAATGCTGAGGTTCATGATGCTCAACTACTCCTCTTACTATCTGGTCATTACCCCACATTGATTAACAGCTTTGGCACCTGATTCAGTATGTCTCTCTGCTCTAAATTCTACATGATATTAAAAGAAAATATTCCTCCTACTCCTACAGATAGAAATGGGGCAAATAGGGCGCCTGGGTGGCTCAGTTGGTTAAGCGGCTGCCTTCGGCTCAGGTCATGATCCCAGGGTCCTGGCATCGAGTCCCGCATCGGGCTCCCTGCTCGGCGGGGGGTCTGCTTCTCCCTCTGACCCTCTTCCCTCCCGTGCTCTCTGTCTCTCATTCTCTCTCAAATAAATAAATAAAATCTTTAAAAAAAAGAAATGGGGCAAATAATGAAGAGTCTTTTCCATACAAAAGAAGTGTGATCCTTGTTTTCTATGTAGTCAGTATTAGATAATATCATAGGACCTACTTTAGAAAACTTACCGCATCAAATGTTAAAGTTTTTATGTCTTCAGTTGCTCCTAAAATATCCTTATGAATAAAATTCACATTGTCTGGCCACTCTTCTACATGACTCATTTTCCATGAATCACACCACTTTTTATAATTCTTCTTAGCCAATTCATGGTGGTCTTTTCGTATTTCAAAACTTATGACTCGTCCTTGTGATCCAACTTAATTAAAAAAAAAAGAACTTATGATATTTCATTGTAT